AAAATCGCTCATAACTCAAAAAATAGTATAAGAAACCACCTTTTGTGCTCTAACAAAAAGTTTTCGTTGGACAATTTCCTATTAAAACTACTCCCGTCTAGTTCTTAACCCTGACCTAACCCTAAACTTAACGAATTTTAAGAATTTTGTCTGCGCCACCAACCTGGTACACATTTTCCGGATGCTATAATCAAATACAATAATCGATATCTAAAAAAATAATGCGATTTATATGTCGAAAACAATTTTATGTACATGATGCTACACGAACTGATGTACAAAAATCATTCCTCAGTCTATTTATTTCGTTAAATATGAGTCTCTAAACACACCCATTTCATTTTGGATTTCAAAACTTAACTCCTACATATTTCCGAAACACGTCATTTTCTCTTAATTCTGAACCCCAAATTACTTGAAATTAAAAATGAAATTGGCAACCTATTATCTTTACACGATATTATTTTATTCCTCCTCTGTTTTAGTTTACGCAGATGATTCTGATTCTGACCCAAATCGTAATATTTTTGATCAATCAATCAATACACTCGTTCCACTAATAATCATTTATTTTTTCGAAGGAAATCTGAAAAAAATAACAAATAAAGGATGGTTTAAAGGCAAACTTCTTTTTGATGATATTTTATTTTTATTATCCCTTTATATTTTACCGACTGCTGTGATGTTTAAACACAGAGAAACAACTGAAATTCCAATCTGGATTATAATACTTTATGGAATAGCTACCTTTATCATTGCAATTAACATAATATTGATAAGGATTGAAATATGGCAGAGTTGGGGTTATTATGGCTGGGGTTATTATGGCATTCCGATATTCATATCACATGTAGTTTCTGATATTTGTTTTATGTTTTATTCTCGAGATGTTTATATAAATATATTATCAACAATATTTATTTACTTACATGCTGTTAGCGGAATCACTACCATGTTTGAGATAATTTTAGCATCAGTTGGTTTATTAATGGATATATTATATAGAATTCCACGATGTTTTTGGAAATTCACGGTTAAGTTTCATGTTTATTACGCACTCCTTATTCCTTTTTTCCTACTTTTTACTCCATTAATACAAATGTTAAATATGGCATTACTTTTCCATAACGATTATTATTGGACAAAATCAATATTCGCCTTAAATTTGATCTGTTTTTCTCGAATTTTATATTATCTTAAAAACGCTCCATTTTATGCAAGCAAAACATTTTGGGAAGAAGACAAATAGAGTTCTTTAATGGCACTTCTTGTTTGTATCTCTTATGGTAATAATGATGAAGGTGATGACGAAATTAATGATGACACAGCCTTTGCGGCATTATATTTATATTTAAAATTCGGGAAAAAACTCGACGCTTGGGAAAAATTATCTGAAAAGAGAATGTTTGAAAATTTATCTAGAGAAGATGATTTAAATGCAATCAAAAAACTGAATGATTTGTTGATATCTAAAAATGACGTGAAAGAAATAGATGATTTAATTGCAATCAAAAAACTCAAAAATTTGTTGAAATCTGTAAATGACGTACAAGAAATAACTGTAGTCAGGTATGTCAAATGTCCATGCCTAATTTAATTTTTATATATAAATAAAATTTATAAAATTTTTTATAAAATTTTTATTGCATTTTTAAATTTAACATTATTTTATTTATGTTTTACTTTATTTTTTTTTTATTTTAAAGTTTTATTGTCTAAATTATTTTATTTTAATTTTTTTTAGAATTAGGAATTGGCGCAACAAATAAGTTTAACAGAGTCCAACCGGTTTTAATACCATGCCCGAAGATTTTGGTCAATTATCAGCATCAATCTGCCTAGACTATTAAGAAATTTATTCGGTTAAATAATTTTTTCTTTTAAAAACCCTTTCTGAGAAAAGGTGTCAGTTGGCATACTTCATTTATTAGCATAACCGTTGTAATTTAATAAATATATTGATTATTGTTAGGAACTGGAGGGTGTTATCACATTTTTTGATATTTCTTCTATAAACGTATTAATTAAGGTTGTAATTTCGGTTATCAAAGCACATAAAATATGAGTTCTCTACTATATATTAAGATAACTATACTTAAAAAAATTCAACAATGTAACTATTACATTGTTACTATATAATTATTAGCATTGTTAACTAGTATTTTACAGCACATAATAACAATTTTATATCACTACTAGGGATGGGTTCGGTCAGCCACGGTCGGTTATCGGCCAGCTACTATCAGTTATCGACTAATAGCCATCTATAACCAGTTATAACCGATCGGTGTCTAAAGCATTTAAAAAAAAACTAGGTGTTACCCGGCGCTTTGCTGCCAGTTTAAATTTATATATCTAATTTTTGCAATCTAATTTATAATTTAACACAAATGAGGTGAAAATTAAATACAACATATGGGAGCTAGTGGTGTAAAGATATTTATTTTGATGAGTAAAAACTTTTTACATATCATTGTTAGTAAGCTTTATAACTGATCAAGAATACCCTAATTACCCGTATAAAGTACCCCGGCTACTATTCAATAAATTATCAATATGCTGAATAGTATCTACATGAGTAATTACAGGAGAATACTATAATAGGGCAGTAATTTATATAGTTCAATAAGAATTTTCTAAACTATCAGTATCTTTTCAAGAGATGCAGTGCATATCTAAAATGTGTGCCAGGTTTGTAATGCAGTTTCTTTGAACTACAAATCAGATTTCAAGATTAGAAGATTAAATGAAGGTTCATTCGAAATCTAAATAAACACCACCTTTATTGCTCTGACAAAGTTTTCCTTGAGCGATTTTACTATAAAGTACTACTAAAACTCTGGGTCCGTATCGATTCACCGACAATCACTTTACCGACAGCTCATTTTGACGACATCACGCCAGGTGAAATTTAGTAA